GTTAAAGTATTTCAAATTCCTTTTTTACCTGAGGCAATAAGGATACAGCACAAAAATGTACGAATGATGGCGTATCTTGGAGTTGAATGTTAAGTGCCTCCCCTCGTTATTGTCAATTTCTCTTCCCCCTGATTCCAATGCAGTCGTGCCACCACATTTAGTTGCCGTAGGGAATGGCGTATTGATGTAGTAAGATCATACAATATGAGAGAGGATTGGGTAAATGTGTGTTTGTGAGAGAGAGAGATACAAGTGTGGTGTGCGATAGTATGTATGAAGGTTCGGCAAGTGTCCTTAGCCGGAGACAGCCGTGCGGGGTATTGTGGTTTCGCGATGTGTGACACTAATTCCTGTTCTGATCAGTTTATGTGCGCTTCTTTCACCTTACAGCTTCTCTCGGTCTTATTCTTCATTTCACAGAATGATTCCTATTGTTTTCTTCTAATAACTATTTCAAACGAACATTAACAAGGGGTAGATTCCCACGACTCAAATTAAAAACAAGATCATAAAACACTAAGAAAACGTTTAAAACATAAGAAACGTAAAACACTGGAAAATAAAATAAGAAACATTAAAATCACTAAGGTAAATAAACGCAAGTACGTGAAATCCTAAGAATAAAACGCAAGAACGTGAAGTGAAATCACTAAGAAATAAAAAAACACCGCAACGTAAGAAAGAAAGAAAGACAAGAAAAAAAATAATATATATATATATAAATATACTATATATTATATATATATTATCTATTTACTATATAGATATATATATTATATATATATAAATTTTATATATAAGACAAAAACGATAAAAACAATAATAAATAATTCGCTGGAACACAAGTAAATAAAATCACTAATGAGAACATGAAAAGGAGGCACTGGTTCTTTCACTTCGCTTGATTAAATCCAGCAAGTATCTATGTCTAGCATGTGAAAGTAACTTCTCACGACACTTGTCCTGAGTTTACAGAAGGCCCCATTCCGGGGTTTCTTTCAAGCGACTGCGTTCACCAAGACCCAGAGGACTCACTAGTAATTAAATATAACTATTAAAAGAAATTAGATAAGCAAAATAAATGTATTAAAAAACACTCATAATTATTTATTTAAAAAAAAAAAAAAATTACAAAGTTACAATATAATGAAATAGAGATTATTCTCATATTTAATTTTTGTTTGATTTATTTCGGATCACTTGAAATTCTTTGAGAGGATATAAATACAATTTTAAAGAAACGTTTATAATCACAAACATTATCAAATAATAAAACTATAATAAGGAGGAGGTGTACGTGTTTTCTTGCTGACGAGCTCTAGCAGCGGAGTGGCAGAGCATCCTTCATCCCCGGGAGATAAACTGGTGCATATAATTGTACGACGGGAATGTATCTGGGTTTTAGCATGCATGTGAAAAAAGTGAGAATAAGCAGTGTTTTTAGTAATGTTACATGCTTGGGGCCACGACGAAAAACCCCGTGATCCACGACATACGACACCATTTTTTTCTATATCCTATTGCGAATGGAAAAAACGAAATGCGAGTTAACATGACTTCAACGCTATGTGATTTTCAGAATCGTTTAATGAACAGTGTATGGACCTTTCTTCTACCTCTCCCGTTTTCTCTTGGTTTGCCATATTCCCTCTCGCCCCACCTCTACCTCCCTACAAAAACGCCAGCCCCTTCCTTTCCTCTCCACTTCTTTTTCAGCAACGTCCTTTTCCCCCTTTGCTATCGTATGTCTCTCTGTTATACGGTATGTAGATACTTAGAAGAGCTTGTCTCTGCATTAAATAAAACTGATGTATTAATCTTAACTCATTGTGTCGCTTATGCCATGGACAGACTGCTGACCGGCACCAGGCTGAATACAAAATGTTCCCTTGTCCAGTGGCTAGATAACTAACTTTCAAGCTAGCTCATTTCACCAGTAGGTAACTAAAACGTTTGAATATCTATGTGAGTACATCGGTCAAAGTTAGCACGTCCCACATGAGTAAGCTAACCCAACATGGTGAATTAATGGTGTGAGAATACATTCTAACAATCGCCAAAGTAAATTTGTAAAGCATTTTCAGATCCTATTATCAATCTTCAAATTCATATAATATAGATATATATATCTATCTATTAATATATATATATATATATATATATATATCGATATATCTATAATATATATAAAATAAATGAGAACCTCAGTGACTGTACCACTGACACCTTTTGCACACTAGACTGCTACGTTTTAACAACACAAGCTGGCTGACAGTAGGCACATCTCGCGACTTACCAGCAACCATCAAGAGGGATCGCGCAGTCGACTTCTGGCAACCTGATTGCCACTTAAAAGTCCAGCCACAAGCACACCATCACCTAAGCACTAATCATCACAACTTTAATTAAATAAATAGATTATATAAATAAAAAAATAAGAATAAAACTTCCGTAGTAAGGATAAGTAGTCCGATATGCGAAAGCTGAGCCTCGCCCGGGGATACCACCGGGGGAGCCCGGCCTGTGTCCCTAATGCCGATCGCTAACGTGTGGTCAGCTGACTCGGCTGAGCTTAGTTCCTTGCCCGACGTGGTGCCCAGCCGCAGCAGTCACTCCTCCACTCCAGTAATATTATAAAAAAAAAAACTATATGATGATACCCCCTATTGACCAGCAGCTTTCCTGGTTGGCTGACAACTGGTATACACGCGACGCACAGGATCCACCTTGACCGCAGGCTAAGTACAATGTAATATGTTGGCTTCTCTCCGAGGGATCGCGGTTCGCAGCCCCAGCCCAGGCGCGAGAAGTTGCAATGTCCGCCTGGAGATTACCGCTGTGGCTGGCACTACGGTCCAGTAAGGACAAAGCCGGTCAGCACCAGTTTGACACACATTAGCGAGTCGACATAGGCCGGGCTCCCTCATAGCCCAGTCGAGGCTCAACTTCGGGTATATCGACTTATCCTTATGCTTGCTCACAATTAGCTTCGGGCCCTCTAGCCTATTCTTCCCTTTATGGATTTTTCTCGCGTTATGATCACTTCCTCTGCGCACCTACTGGTAAACTGGCCCCATCTTCGGGGCTAGTGCGCGAGTGGCAACCTTTACCCTCACAGGGGGAGGGTGGTGTCTGGGGGGACTTAGCGGTTCCTGCCTTATTGTGTGGTCAGAGAGTTTGCCATT